CCAATTTAAAAATTGGGTTAAAATTAACAAACCTGTGGGTAAAATCAAAATAGCCTTAGTAAAAAAAATATTAAAGACCAACAGAGTTATTTGACCCGGTGAAACTTAAATTGCATTACAAGGGTTTACCAGCGCCTGAATCATCGACCTCTATAAATAGACAGGCTATAGGATGCGGTTTTGTGTCTGTTTGATTTCTACCATCTTCTAATGATAGAGATAGATTTAACTATTATTAACTGGAACATGTACATTTAAATTGAAATGAATCAACAGTTGTCATTTCCATACAAAGACCTATCCTTTTATACATGTCAGTGTACTGTAAGTTTTGCATATTTGTTAACTAATATAGCAGTCTAGTCGTTGCTATCGCACCTCTTACCGGACCAAATAAGCTCGTCATACTATAATATTAACATCGAAGGAATTTAATTGGTATCCTGTCGTAAAACTTTAGATAAATTGACACAAACTCGTGTACCTTTCAATCTTAAGACTTTAAAAAAATAAATCTGAATGTACAATGACATACAGGCAATGTGTTAGTACCAAACTAACTAGATTAAAAAGTCGAATTAAACTAAGAAACGAGGTCGCTACATTTATTTTCCAATGCTAGCTACTTGCAGTGATAAACGTTCGACTAACTATGCTGCGATAGTGCACATACTACATTTTGCATGCAAAACATCAAGTGTTGAATTAATTAATAGTATCCTATAGTACTTACAACACCTAGAGTAATGGTTGACAATTAACGATATTTTAATCTCTCTTTCCACTGCCGAAAAACCTTTAGGTTTGCCCAACGCCTTTCGATCACAGCGTTTTAGAAACAGAATGACTAAGTGTTCACTTTGTACCTTTCCAAAGCCTTTATTTATTTGATCCTTTACGCCATTAAATATAACTATATTACTACTAAGTGTGAAGCATAAAGATTATTTATACCTGCTCCTACCAGCGCTTGAATTTTAACATAATCGTGCACGATGTTTGGTCGTGCGGAGTGTAGCGGGCAAAAGTGATCTGGCAAGGTCGTCCAAGGCAAGCCGGCGCACGTGGGAACGCTCTCGCACAAACCTTACGATCGCTAAGGCTGCACATACACTTCAAATAAGGTGACGTAACTGACGTATGAACAGAAATGCCAATCTATACATATAATAAATTTGGAGTGTCTGTTTGTAATATCAAAATAAAATTCTAGATTTCGGGAAGATGTATTTGCGTTGTTGATAACGAAAATTTCATTCGAAAATTTCATTCCAACGGGACTTTCACTGGTGGGTAGCTGACATGGATAGGCATATTATAGGCAACTTTTTTTTAAATTCCGCGCTGTCAAAATGGCGTAACGGGTGGCCGAAATTGCACTAACGAAATAGCTCGTAGATGAATAAAATAAATAGAATTAAATAGATGCCCAGTATTAGTTTCATAAAGTTTTAAATAACTCGTCTATGCCCTGTCTCATCATAACTGTGTGACGAAATTAAAAGTAATATAATGAAACACAGTACTGTAAATCCTCTACAGTGTGCGTAAAATAGTTATAGTCACTTGCAAATTTAATAACCATGATACATGTTCAAAGTGGAATGCGCCATAACGGGAACGTTACGTGTTCAAGAGGCCTACACAACACGACCTCCTCCCGCGCCCGCCTGTCACCCGACCCGGATTTGCAACACTCTGTCTCAAATATGCAACCTGATCCGGTTCCATACCTATTGGTTAACTATTGTTTTTGACATCTAATATAAACATCTTTTTATTATAAACTGTTTAGTCTCGCTTTGAGGTGATACGATACGATTTTTTAGTTGTGCAACTAAAGAGTTGAATTGACAGCGAAACAATCGACAATCGAGCAACAGTTGTGCGACATACAATGTAATAGAAAGTGCGTATAAACGTTTTGTCATCTCAATTTTTCTAAAACTAAACTGTCTTAAAGCAATTTCACTTGCTATTAAGCTATAAATATCCCGTAAAGTGGGGACACAACTCTAGTTAAGAATGTGAATAGAGCTACCAAGCCGCAAAAACTGAGATATTTAATTTCGTTTTAAACTAATCTAAAATCGACCGGATTAAGATTTGGCTTTGTATGGCGCCGATAGACTTATAAGGTAGAACATAAAAAACACACCTGCCTCAATAAATACCGATTCGATAGATTTATATGTCGCGACGGAAATAAGATACTAACACGATATCGAAACACGAACTAAATCCAGAATTAAGGTTGTTTATTTATCATTTATGTTAGTTAATTTATAATTTCAGGGCTGTTAATTGGTTACTTTGTTGTTTCGATGTTGGCTGAAATTCAGAAGAAACGGTTAAGCATTAAATTTAAGTGTGGCAGTATAAGGGAGACCACATACACTGCCATACTTAATTATTTTTTTAACGAAAGTTGTTCAAGGAGTTTTTACATGTTTTTATGTCTCAAGCCATTAGAAAAGAAGAATTTAAATTATTTAAAATTAGAACACATTGTCGATGTCATCGTTTTTTTATGTCTTTTTCTGTACATATTTTATCAATACACATGTCTCCGTTAATAATAGTTTTATTTCTAAATCTTTTACGATATACATTTTGGTCCTTCGAGCCGGATCATTAAATTAAATTCTTCTTCTTTTCTAATGGCTTGAGACCTATTTTTTATAGAAGGTTAACTTAATATATTGATTTTAAACTAAGTGGTTATCTGTTTAATTTCGATGATATTTGCAGCCGGCGTGGGTGAGCGGCAGACCTCAAACGGTTTAAAATATTAATTCACATCGATCGTTATTCGATAATTGCACATTGATCAGCGAGGCTTGACCTGATCTTTGCACGCAGATAGCCTCAAGCTACAAAATGAACATATCCTAAGCAAGCATAATTTAACGTAAAGTTTTAGTCAATGCATAGTTAAACAGGAATCAAAGCATTACGAAATAAAATATAAAATTATTTGAGAAACTTCAGGGTCGAATTCAAATCCAATAAAACTGCACTTTTAAAAAGTTTAAATCAAGATTAACTTACAAGAGTATAGTAGAACATTTTTTTTAATATCAACCTAAATTCGAAAAAAACGACAAAGCGTTGGCTTTAGACATCCAAAATTTCAGTTTCGTTGCTGTAATATACGGAGGAGGGGACGCACAGAAAGTGAATATATCCTCTTCCTATGCGTCTTGCTCCGCTTTTACGTCAAGAAGGTAGAATATAATTTAAAAAACCGAGAACTGTTTATATATTAATCAAATTACATCACTTTTAATGCAATACCATTATTCTAAAACTCTATAACATTGATACATTTTCGTAGAAGTCAATTAAATTGCATTTCAGTTACTTTTTCCTCATGACCGTGACTGCATTTAGGTCGTTTACTGTAGTTAATTCTGTCCCTACAGATAAATTATTTGATACTAAAGTAGACGTTAAATAATATGTTTCTGAAGTAATTTCAGTTACTGTTAAGGAAGAGTTAGTGTCATCTGTGCTATGGAAATTTGTGGAAATTGTTTCCACTATTTCTTCAACATTAGATCCAGGAGTAAAATTACGTGAATTTTTGTTATAAGGCGTTCTGTTGTTTACTATTTTAAACGACTGATCTTTCACATTATAAAGTAAAGTATTGTTTGGTCTTATTTCAAAAACTTTTCTATCTGAGCCCAATTCTTTTTTAGTATTGTTCACTTCTTCTTTATAGACAATTCGAGCTGAATCAGCGATAACTTCTAATTTTGCTTCACCGCTATCATCAACAATTTTTAAAAGAACATTTTTTGGATTCCTATCTATTTTTTTATTTTTCTTTTCTCTAGCATGCCTTCTATTATCTTTCAATGGGAACACAATTAACGTAACTGGTGTTTTTCCATCCGTTGTTAATATATGATCTCCTAGTTTCACGTTACTTTTGACTGTTACTGCTGGTTTTTGTGCAAATCGTTTACCAATTTCTGCATTACCTCTGCTTTCTTCGTAAGGAAATATTTCGTAATCATCCGGTACTTTTTCTAATCCAAAGTGAACGTTATCTTTCGCGCTTAATTCTTCGTTTGGATAAAAGATGTCTGTCTTATCATCGTCGAAATCCTGCCCCTCCATTCTCCTATAGTAGGTGCCGTTAGTTGCGAGTAAATCTGGATTTACGATGCTGAGTAAATAACTAAATATAACAAACAATATAAGAATACCTACCACACATGTTGTTACAATTACTGCTGTTTTAGCCATTCTGTAACATTATAGTTAACGGAAATTTACGGAAAAATTGATGTCACTTTTAATTTTGACGTTTAGATTTTTTGACAGTTGACATATTTAATTCGTTCAAAAATTTCAAATGTTAGTTTTAAAGATTATATCTCCAACATAAAAAATAATTAAAAAGCCGTATTAGAAGTTCAAAAAAAAAACTCAATAGTAAGTCAATAAATGCTAGACTATAACAAAAAAAATATCGAAGCGGTGGAGTTTTTCAAATGTACTATTCAATGTCTGCTGAGTATAATAACCGAACAATTATGTATAGTTACTAGCATTCGCAAACGACTCCGTCCGCGTAAAAAAAAAAACAAAAGTAACTAAGTAGTCTTTGTGTTCTTCCAGACTTTGTTTTACATCTATGCCTTATCTTGATCCGTTCAGCAATTTATGCTACAAACTCTAACAAACATCCATCTCCACCTTCACATTTATAATATTAGTAAGATTACTGCAATGTAAATTCTGCACTCAAAATAAATGGTGTAGGATTAGATGTAATAAAGAAAAAAATAGGAGCAAATAAAAAAAAAGTTCTTCAAATTACATTTTTAATATTCGGTTGTCCTATTTACAAACAGACTAACTAATTACGAGCAGGGTGAATCGGTAATTACTAAACTAGCACGTACCATCCTTCGACCACATCTTCACCTTGGTCTAGATGGGATAGTGGTCAAGCGCTGGTTTTGCAATTTAAATAAAAAAAAGTATTGTCGGTAATATTTTATTTCGGCACGAAGAATTGTACATCCCAATAATCTTGGTTCTGGCGCTACGGTAAAAAAAAACTGGTTAACCATAATTTAAAGTCGTAATAAAACAAAACTTATTTCAATACTAAATGTGTCTGAAAATCCAGATATTATTGAGCTATGAAAGCCAACATCTTATAGTCTGAGAAATATGTTAACCTAACTTTTTCTTACAACGTCCGTGCAAAATTAAAGAGAAAATAATAATGTTTTACTCAATAACATTTTTTTTAATTCAACCCAGTAGTTTTTGAATCCTCTATATGTATCAGAACTAATCTTTGCTATACATTACAAATATAATGATTTTATAAGTATCAGGCCTTCTCCAAGATTCTAACCTCAACATTTGAAACAATTTTTCTGACAATATCCTTGCAAAGTTCATAATTCTTCGATTTTTTATAACGATATTTCAAATCTAACTTTTCTCAAAAACAGCGAAGAGGACGCTGCCATCACAGACATCCACATTCGCATTTATGTTGTAGAGGGAATCTATCTGAATTTTATCCCCCGCCATATTCACTTTCCATTCCTTCCTCGTAAGGGAAAGGTGGAAAGGGGGAGTTATATGAAATTAGGGTTCTGACAAACACAGTTTAACTTACTAATGATGATTTGTTACTCGTCCTCATGATATAAGACATTTTTAAATCAGAGTTATCTTTCGCAATCAATCCTAGTAAGGGCGTCAGCTTATCTACTGACGATATCAAGTAAATGAAGGCGGGAATCAATAATATTATAACAGCAAATACTATAATAAAAACTATTTTCATTATGTTACGTATATCTGATTTGATACAACGGGATATAATTTAGCCACAAAAAAAATATTGGTATTTAATCAGACATCTGACAACCATTCAATACAAATTCATCAAAGAGTATATAAGTATATTTTTAGAAATTCATCTTGAAGTAACTGACACCGTAAACGTGACATATTTTGTTTTTAATTATTAATTACGCTTTGCCTGTGAAAACATTAGAATTGGTTTGTTTGTGCTGCTTTGTGTAGGTAAAGAAGAATGAATGTACACGTATTACCTTCATTAACTTTAAAATACGTAATTAAAAATCTAAAGACAAAAACTTAAAAATGATACTTGTATATTCTTTTGGTATTCTTTGAACAAAGATGTCAGTAAGATAAAATGTGTCAACGAAAAATTCTGAGACACTGGAAAGAAATATAAAAGTGAGTAAAGTTTTAATATTTTTTGTGATAGAAAGATGTTCATACTAAGAACAGCAAAGAATTGGGTGTCTGAGAAAATAAACGCTTATTAACATTTACTTAACTAGAGTGAATATTGTACATCAATCTATATCACCGGTTTGTTAATTTATAAAAACTTACTTCTATAGGGTAATAACAAAGCAAACAAGAGGCCGCGATCGTCTTGTCTTGCACCGTCACACGAATTATTTATAAAACTTATGTAAATTCCAGATGACACGTTCCGATGAGCAGAGTAACATCGACTCGGAGGCCGGCTCCGTACGTGTTGGCCGGATCAGCAAGTTAGGGGCAGTCCTGTGCCCTGCGGTTTGCGCGCTGCTGCTGGTGGTCATATTTGCAGTCTCCTTCGTCGGCAGTAAGCTAGCGATTGACAGATACGGCGCATTCTGCACCAATCGACGGTACACCGGCGCCAAACGATATGTGTTCCCCGATCACAATCTCACTTTATAGAATACTTCCCTAAAAAAAGAAAATAGTTTAGTCTGAAGATTATTTACTGATATATGCTTTAGTTATCTTAATGTCTCGCATTTATTAGATGGATGTTGTAATATAATTGGCATGAAATATAAAGTTTTGTTTTATTTATTCATTTTAAATTCTTCTACGTTTAATTTAATAAAACGCCATCTAACGGCGTTTTTTGTAACTGATTGGATTCGTAAACTGCCATCTAACGACGTTACAGTAAAACCCCTTTGGAACTCTCGCAAAACTTTACTAATTACAATCATAGATGGCAGTAGCAATATTGCAATTGCAACTTTATATTTCTTGTTAAAAAACACAACAATATGATTTATGTCTTATTTAACGTTAATTAATCTTTTGCCAAACATTTTAAAAATTACGAGATGTTTAAATAGTGAAGGAAAAATAATGATGGCAATATTGTTTTGACAGATGAAAGTGAAAGTGACAGACAGAAAATGGGTGGCCGCTAGTTGTCGGCACGATTCCCGTATTTTTAAACATAGTTTACCTTTCCTAGCTTTATTTATTAGTTCCCTAACTGCAGCTTGTTCAGAGTGTTCCCGTGTATTTTACAGTTTCCCTTTCCTGTCATATACAAAACGTGAGTACACCTTCATTTTACATACTACTGTTATTTTACACCTTGTATTGATTGTGTTTGTAGCTTACGGGAAGGCCAATGTCAATTGTGTTGAGGTGAGAAAAATAGGACAGATGCAGACTGTGCTCCAATCAATATCAGCAACAAATAAATTGGCTTTTATCTAAATTACTATCAGATTACATGACGCACTATAATTCTAATGAGATTTTACTTACTAAGTTTTTTGGATTCCATGTACGAAAAATCTCGGGAAAAAGTTATTTTTATAAAAATATTTTAATATCTCAGTAATTGATTCATATTTCTTACATCTCTTCAGCTTTATACCTCATGAATATCAAATTAGCCATCAAATCTTCTACTTCATAATGGTTTTATAACTCTTAATTCTTGTCTTAGAGACTGTATGCTATATTATTGTAATACAAGTATATAAGCAGATGTATAATACAAAGGAGGGAATTTAAAAAAAATTACACTATGTTTATGTCCCAAGAAAGAATAATTGTCAGTCAAAAGTTAATGCCTTCAGTTATTAGCTCAGTATGTATGTGCTGTGAATGGTAAAAAAAACTTTATTCTTTTGTCATTCAAATGTCCTCTAAATTGTAATTAGTCAATTCAAGTTAATTAAATGATATGTAAATATTTTCTTATTGTACAATCCAGGAAACTGTCAGTGTTCCACTTTAATAGCTAGTGGCTTGAACAGTAACCAATAGTAAGCTTTTAAATGTGTCTGTAGGAAAAAAGATTGGTTGAAAAACTAGCTAATTGCTTTTTATTTAATTATGATACCATAGTTTGCACAACTCACCTAATTTTTATTTGTAAGAAGAGACAGAGTTTGTATTGTCGTAAGTAATAAGGCAATTTTTCTGTAAGTGGGACACCGCCAATTTCCACAATTGTACAAGTTATATAATTTTCTCAGAGAATATGCTTATTTCGATATCTTTTCAAAAGAACATTTTGTAGAGTTGTTTCACAAAGTTAATGAACATCTTTGTCTCAATGCAGGCATCTGCAACTTTCCATACAATACAACATTTAACAAGCATTCCGGAGTACTCACTTTTATATTTTACATTTTGCTAATCTGTTCTACTTTACAAATTTCTGTTTGTTCTTAACAAAAGTATTTAAATACTATCTAGACTATGAGAGCTTTCTGACTAAAACCTGACATACACAGACTTGCAATCAATCTAGACAGTTCCAAACGGTATAGACTTAGCCATACAAGAACTGCTATTTTTAGTAGCCTTGGTTGCTGCGCTCAAGCTGAATTTGAAGCTATATCTGCAGTCCGTGTATTCCGGCCCTTAGTCCTATCTTGTCTTGTTTTTGTACACAGTTATTTATATCCAGTAAGATAAGCGATGCATGCTGAAATATTATGAACGATTTTTTTTTTAATTCCGCACAAAGTTGCGGACGACAGCTGCTCAGCTGGTATATAATTGAAATAAAATTTAATCGTCTATTTGCGTCGTCGCACCGAAATATTTGTAGCTGGTCGCGTTAGTGAAAATGAGTCTTATTTCTTGCTTATTATTACTAGTTCTGTTATCTGCGTGCGTAATTAACCGTACGGTTACGCTACATATCAAAAGTTTTACTACCGACTCGTGCGTCTTACAATTTGAATCGGTTTAGATACGCCGCATAATATAGTTCATTCAATATAGTTTATTTAAAAGATTCTTGCTTCTAAATATGAGCATACTGGCTTTCGCTCGCGACTCCATCCCTGTGGAATAGAAATAACAAAAGTAAGTAGATTATGTATTCTTCCAGACTTATGATCTACATCTACGCCAAATTTCATCGAGATCTGTTCAGTCCTTTAGGCTCCATCTTTTACAAACATCCATCCATTTAAAATTTCGCATTTACAATATTAGTTATATTAGTAAGATTTAAAAGTAAATAATAAGGTTGTCTATTTTTAATTAAATTGCTTCATAATAGTTAGTTACATATAAAATGTTCTTTGCTCATGTATTCTTTGTGTGTTTGTGCATATTTTATATGTTTTATGTCCACAGTTGTGACAATAATCATGACCTGTCCTTTTATTATTTACTAAGGCTGGCCATGAGACATTTTAAGTGTAGTTTATTACCTTGGACACATGTGCAAATTCACTAGCAAAGAATACTTGATAAAAAAAAATAAGCTTTCAACTCCAGTGTAGAGCCCGCTTTAACATCTTCGCACGAATGTGCCGGCTCGCCCGGTGTAATACCACGACCACACAGAAGACAGGCGTCAAGTGGAAGCTATTCCGCGTACAGTCTGATGAGTGTGATGCCGTAGGCCTACTTTTTAGTTCCTTTACCTTTCCACCCTTTTCTTAAGAGGAAAGGATGGGAAGGAAAAGTGGATTTTATGATGGAGGAGACGCATAGGAAAGAGAAATTTCCTCCTCATGTGCGTCTCCTCCTCCGTCAATTAAGGGTAGGCAACGCATATGCAATTGCAGATGTTTATCGGCAGCGGTCGTTTTCCATTTCGGTGGATTCAGGTGGCCGCTTGCCCGTTTGCCACCTTATATTTTATAAAAAAATTCAACTTAAATATTTTGGCTTCCATCCATAAATTTAATTACTTTAAAATTTTCAAAATTAATTAAACATAAAATGCAGTAAACTCCCGACTATGACCCAGTTTCGGGATCGTACCTGGATGCGGCTATGACGTCAGTTGTGACGTCACACCTGACACACTGACCCATTTAATGATCAGGGGGCAAACGGGAGGCGGGGTCCCATTCAGATCGAATCTGCACAACGAAGTTATTTTTAGATTCACAACTCCATTCATTGCGGCAACCTAGGGCTGACACCTCTCGATTAAACTAGACAAGCACAGTCAAATGACCTTGACCAGTGACGTCAAGACGTCCGGAAGAATACGCAGGTCACACCAATTATTTTCAAACTCGAAGATAGGTACATCAAGAAGCATTCAAAAGCGTAAAGCATGTCATTGTGTGAGATAAATTTTTGTTACTAAATTTCTATTTTTGATGTAAGCGAAAGTGCATTACCACTTAAACCACAATAGCGGTGGTGTAAGAAAGTTGATAAGTACACGATAGATATCCTGTTTGTGGTCCAGAGAAAATGTATGAATAAATATCATATCTATACTTCTATATGTATACTTATACTATTATATTATAATAAAGCGTAAACACACACTTCTTTGTTGCCTAAGATGTCAGCAATTACAGCATATTTTGGAATAATTCTTTCTTTAACAAAAAGCCCTACACTTACGTTACGCTTTAGGCTATATGTGTCTACGCCATAACTTAGGGGGTAAATATTTTAGATAAAAACCCTAATGTAGGAAAGAGAACATAAGTTACTGCTAACATCAAGGAAGCAAGTTTGCATAGGTTTGTCATGTCATGTCATTCTGACATTTTTTATTGATAATTTGACAAATGTAAACAATAAAATAAATATTTCATAATACCATGCGGGTGACGCCGCACGGGAACAGCTAGTCTTTAAATGAACTTCATTCGCTCTAATTATAAATTATCTAATGATCTGGAAGTTTCGATTAATAATAATATCGTAATTATTTGGGAACAATGTACATCATTAATAAACAGCGGCATGCAATTGACGTAACTAATTAAGAAATAATCGTTAATTGCAAGGAAATCTTGGTGTAATGGGTAAATAGAAATTACTATGTAATTTGATTTAATTTCCATACGACATGAGATACCAAGAAATCATTTGAAAATTAGCAGTTTCATAGCATTTATTTCAATATCTATGATTCCGACATCCATCTATGATTAAGGGATAAGACAGGTTTTCAAATTATAAAAATACTTCCTTACATAAGCAAATGATCTTTAAGAATAAATTGTGTTTCGTTATAATCTTTTTTTTGTGACTGATTTGTCACTGTTTTCCTTGAAGAGGCATTTACAGATTCACCGGGCTTGAGGTGGCCGAGCGCAGTTGGCGCTTAGCCTAAGCCTCTTTTATGAGTAACTAGGCTCGAGGGCTCCCTCAGGAGCCTCGGCTCGGGCCGTTACTTTGTGACTATTACCGGATTGGAACCTTTATCTGCTCTCTTTCCCAATACTTTGCACAGAATACGGTACACTAGAATGTTCGCAAATAAAACCTGGCCATAGTAACCTGTTGCATGGCTGACCAATGACCAACCGGAACCTCGTTCCACTCCAATGCACATTCTCCAGTAACGATACGTTGTCACGACAAACGTTAAATACCAACAAACGGCAGGGCAATGACCCAAAAAAACACCAACTAAATGCAATAGTTATTTGCAGTAGCTTAACGATAAGGCATTTGTTGACATACATAATACCTTACAATAACTTCACTATTTAGCACGTGTAATATTTGCATATTGTAATTGTTTATATTCAAACAAATTCGTGATAATTGTCGTGTTGCGTTTGAAATATATTTCTACCTTGGTTGTAAGATACTACTCTATTTATTTCGCTTTGATCATTTTAAAATGTCTGAGCACTTCTTTCCTTCTTTAGAGCGTCGCTTGAGACATTTGAGCACTTGACTTATAATCTACAGGTCCTGGGTTCAAATCCTGCCGTACCAATGTGATTTTCGAATTCCTTATGTACACAATTTACCCGACCTTCTTACGGTGAAGGAAAACTGCACATATCGGCGAAGAAATTCAAAGATATGAATTCAACCAACCTTTGGCCAGCGTTGTTGACTATAGCCTAGTCACCCCTTTAGATAGGCTCCTAGCCCCTCAGTGGGGACGTATGTATGTATAGTCTGCTGGTGATGATTTAGCACTTAAGTTAATTTGTGTTGATAAAATTGGCTATAGTAGCTTCAGTACAATTTAATTGTCATGTCCTTGCTGTCTTGTATAAAAGAGTTAAGGCCGTTATCGATTATACACTCGCCATTGTTATAAAGTCGATGCATCTTACATTCACGCGATGCTTTCCAGTAAAC